GCCTGCCTTATACCTTCTTCCAGGACAACATGGGTTGTTGTTTCCTGGTCAAGTCTTTCCAGCATCTGTGGAGAATCAATTCATTTAACAGTTTAATATCCTCACCTCTGACTGCCTTCTGTACCATCGTATCTCCCAGCTCCAGATTAGAATACATTTGCTCTACTGAGAGATCAACTGGGGGAAACTGTTAGTGTATGGTATACATCTGAGACAGATTGATATTTCAATTCTATCTGCTACCTCCCTTGGGTTAAAGAAGAAATATTTCATCCACCACAAATCAGCACAACAAATGTCTTTTACATGGCAAGCACAGCCTGCATGTTAATGGAAGAGAGATTTCTGAATAGAAAAATCAAAGCTCTTTTCACTAATTTAAGAACTAGCTTAAAATATAGATTTCTTGCCAAAGTAGGTAGAGTAGGCATAGGATACTCAAGCCATTTGCCTTACCTTACACTCAACATTGGACATTTCCATCTTCCCATATGTTCAGTATCCCCACATGCAAGCATCAGTTCTTCAGTTGTCAACAATTGACTGCCACACAATTTAATGCAACACTGACACAGTATGATAAACACACACATTATTCATACACCATATGTACTACACCCATAACTACCATACCCATTACACACAGATAACACACCTACCATACATACACCCAAACATACATACCTTATCTACCAAATACACACACACACACACACACACACACACACAATCCTGAAGATTGCCTCATAGTCTATAGGTCTGGGACTCAGCTCCATAGGAACAAGTTGCCCTTTACACACCATCCCAAAGTTATTGGCTACCCAGAATTTTGCTGACTACAAATTAAAGCCTGTTTTTAACCCCTTCTCTGGTTTAAGTAATATGCTAGGGAAGCTCATAGTGCCCAGGAAAGTGCTTTTCCCTGTGTGTTATATCAGTAAAGGATATTACGAAGGCTGCATGCAAAGGGCACAGAGCACCATGCTCTGGTCTCCTGCCCTCCGAAGACCCCATGTGCTCTCTGGACATCATATTTCTTGGCTTTTATGGTGTCTTTATCAAGGAGCTTTGACAGGTTATTGACCCAACCTCCAGCTCCTCTTCCTACGTTGAGGATGAGAGGTGGGGCTAAAAGACCCTAGCTTCTGTTCATGGCCTTGTCTTTCTGGAGAGATGTTCTTGTCCAGGAGCCCAAGAGTGTTTGTTATCAGTGCTGCAAGAGATGCTGTCATCCAGTGGGAAATCCCAAGAATGGGTGCTGAGCCCAAACACAAATTCTCACCGTCCATCACATTTCCCAGGATTCCCCTGGATTCCTGCAACATCTGTCAACAACTGAACTGAGGTATCACCAGGGAAAAAACAGGTTGATGTGTTGGGGCACAGTTTCTTAGGAGATGTTGTAAAGACCTGCTCTCAGGGTTCCCAGGGCATTGCCAATAAAGATCACTTTAATAATATGAAAGTAAGTTTTTGGAGGTCCTTGCTGGCACATAGTTAGAGGCCTTGAGAGTACACACACATTCACATAACACATATACACATGCACACACACATGTATACAAACATATATGCTGTCAGATCATATTCTTACTCACAAACATTTTGCATTTCTGAGTGTTATGGCTACATACTGAGAACTAATTTATCATAAAAATGTTCATGGAGTTTTGGGGGAAACTTTGCCTAAGAAGAACTAATCAATGGCTTCCACTGCCTCGTGAAAATTTTGGCTCACACTAAATGTGCAAAGCTAAGCACTAGGGGCAAAGCTTGTAACACACACATCAGGATCAGGACTGCCATCCCACATCATTGCTGAAATCAGAGGAAGGACGTCAAATCATCATTGCTGAAATCCATTTGTATTCCCAGGGCACATATCCAGTGTGTCAGAAATTCACAGAGAGCCATTCTCAAGGGTTCCTGAAACCTCCATGCTGCAGATAAGCCACACTCTCAGGCTCCAGTACCCTGTGAGTGGGTCTTCCCGTTTTAATTGGCACTTAAGCTTGCCCTGAGAAAGACGCCTATTTTTACCCAACCGCCTATTTGGTAAAACATAGCTCAAATTTTGTCCCTGCAGAGCCAGCCTCAAGCCTTCTGCGAATTCTCAGTCATAAGTAAAAAACATTGACGAAGTCACTAAAGATGGAAACAATAAAAACAGCCAGGAAGGGCAAGAAAAAAAAAAGACTGCCAAGATATTCTATCTCAACTTGCCACAAAAGGTATTAAAATACCAATGATACAAAAATAGACCAGCAATTATTCTTAAGAGCTCGGGAGAGGAGAGCAACCACCCCCAGACTTCAGGAGCTGGGTGGCTTGAAGGACTCATTGATTACTTGATCAGTTGGTTGGTGAATGATTAGTCCTCGGAAAGTCGGAATTAGTGACTAAGGGTCTGCCTCCTCTGAATAAAATGTGTAGTCTCCTCTCCCCACCCCAGTGACAGATGATATCTGTTTCCTCCCATGAGTTTTGAATTTAAGAGCCACTGAAGCTCAGCAACACTATATTCTGGCTCAAATGAGCTGAAAATTGCATTCAATTTGAATTTCAAAACTGGAGGGGAGGAAGGGAGGGAAAAACCCCTGAGCACCCATCAACAATCCACAACGGCTCCCTTCTTCCTCCTGCTTCCCCACAGTTCTGCCAGCCTAGGGACCCAAAGCCCAGGATGTGTTGCAGGACAAAGAGCATTGCTGGATTCCAGCCCAGTCTAAGTTTAAAAATAAACTTTTAATAGACAGGATCAAAGCAAACCTCGCTTTTACGTACATGCATAATGCAGGATGCTACCCGCCAAACAAATAGATTTATTTATCTTTTCCAAACTCGAGCTGGCCTGATTTCTTTTTTTCCCCCCCTTTCTTCTTTTTCTCTGATGTACTCTGGCAACGATAAAGGTGTCTTTCTCTGGAAAACTTCACAAAAGTAAATGATTTTCTAAATTTAATTCCTGGACAAGGAAGATGGTTCAGTGTAGGGGAATGATAGCTGCTCAAGCATGAGAACTTGAGTTTGAGTCACCAGCACGGGTGTAAAACGTCAGGTGCCTGTAACCTTAGTCATGGGGACATGGAGGCAAGAGGGTTCCCTGTCTTAAAAATATGGTAGAAAGAGACTGAAGAAGATTGCCAACAGTTGTCTCTGGCCTCCACATAGACACTAAGTGTGGTGAATCCATTAGTACATACACACACACATACACACACTCACACACATGCATGCACACATGCACACACACATACAAACACACACAGATGCACACACATATAAACACGCACACACAGCATTTATGTCTGTGCAGTTAACTGAAGACCTCTTTCAATGCTTTCTTCCCTCTTACCTGCCTCACATTAAATAGATGTGTTGTCCAAAGTCTGCTGAGGAAGCACTGATATTTCCTCAAATCGTCAGATTTGAAAATCTCTAAGAGAAATGCGATTTAAAGCAATCTTGTGGTAAATACTTCATAAAAGCCAGCCTACTTTTAATGTGCAGATAAACAGTCCTTTTGTAGGAAGGCAGCAAGCGTGAATTTGAAGCACACGTGAGCTTTCTGAAACAATACCTATAATTTCAGACACTTTGATTTAAGTGCAAAAAAGAAAAAATTTAAATTAAAAAGGATACTACACCAAGAAACATATCATACCTCAGACTCATGGGGCCTGTGGTCAGAACTCTCTTTTAAGAATCTGACCTGAAATAACAAAGCTAGGGCCACCCTCATTCCTTTCTGCTTCTAAGAACTGAAACCTATTTTCCCGCCCCTGAAACATTGCCAATTTGTGAATGAAACAAACTCAGGTCCTCTGTGAAAGGAATTTCAGTTTGGAAGTACCATTTCCACACTGAAGCCAAAACCTGTTGATTATCTTCTGAAGTCTGCCATGCTCAGGAGGCTAGGGAACACACTTAGAGAACAGGGACAGAGTGGGCGCTCATTTCTGCAGAAGCACTTCTTTATGAGGCCTTACTGGTGTGCTCAGCAGGGACACAGCAGCAGGGATTCTGTTGTTGCTTCTACCTGGAGGGGGTAGTAGGTGTTCACCCTGCCTCAGGTCTACCTATGTGGGAAGACTCCGAAAGAAACAGATCCCCAAGCCATCGCTGTGAGCCTCCAGTGACAATCATCACCATGTGGTTCACAGGACCAAGTGAAGTCACTGTGCCCAGAACACCAGCAGAGGAATGAATGGGACCCGCAATATCTATGGTTTTCCTTCGACAAACAAAGTGAAATAAACTCAGCCTTTATTTATGGAAATAATAGAGAACGCGATAGATAACAAGTCCATAAATAAGTTGATAGCCAGAGAGCTTTGTCTACTATAAACACAGGACAAGACGCACAGAAAGGTAATACTTTGTACTCTGTACTCTACCAAACTACAGAATTCAGAAACAGCCTGACCTTGCCAACCACATTTTACAGGTCAGCATACCTCACCAGTGTAATGAAGGCAGAGCCTCACCAAAGAGCCTTATGGTCCCTGCCACCCACATGCAGTGACACCTACCTATCACCACATGCCACAAAAGAAGAATTCAGAGGGCATTCAGATGCTGCTTTGGAGTCAGATACCACGGTGATGCATACCTGTGATCCTGGCACTTTGCTGACAGGCAGGACAGATCTCTGTGATTTTAAGGCCGGCCTGATTTACATAGGGAGTTCCAAGCTAGCCAAGACTATATAGTGAGACAAGGCTACATAGTAAAACCCTACATTTCATAAATAAATAAATAAATAAATAAATAAATAAATAAATACTGCTTTTAGACCACTTTTACATTTTAAAAGACAAAACAAGGAAAGCCTCAGACCTTCCTGTTGACTGTATTATTGGTTACAAACCAAACTCTCACAGACACAGCACAACACAACACAATAAATGAAGATGCCAATGTGCTGCTTTACCTGCCGGTGTGTAGCGTGGAGGCACAGCACCACACAGATCTTAAGAGCCTCACGGGGAGGACCTTACCTTTCCAACTGCAACAGTGTTAGCGTAGGATGCTTTCCTTACATCTTCATCACTTCAGGTTGCCTCATTGATGAACCAGCAAGGAGCTCTAACGTGATAGAAGCAAGGGTCCAACCCAAAAGAGGAAGAAAGAAAAAACAGGAAAAAGTGAGGTCACTTTCTTGGCCACTGCATTTAATAAAATCCCCCAGGCAATAGAGTTAAGCACACATTAATAACTATAATAGTATTCTGAGCCTTTAGCAAGTCTTTGATTTTCCTATATATACCATCAGGACTGTATTAACACTCCAACAAAGGACTAGTCCTCCATCTTATTTTACTTCTCTTTCTCTTCAGTATTCTTGGTTTTATTAATCCTCTATTCCTCTCTTATGATGGTGAATATACCAGCAAAGGTGTCAAAGCATTTCTCACTATAATACCCACCGTAGCTTTCGAAAGAAAAGAAAAAACAAAAAATAAATGTTTTTTAAGACCAATGGACTCACTAGACATCAGCCTGAAATTTGCACACCTTTCTCTACACTTTGCTTCTTATTTGGGAATGGACAGAAAGGCACAAGTTTTTAAAGTAACTTCTCAGTTGGTTTTAACTGAATGTGAACAAAAGGTGGTTCTCCAGGTATAGTCCATCAAGGGACGCTAGTAGGTCAAGTCCCACTAAATTGCTTGCATTCTTCAGTTTTGAAATATAAAGGAGAGCATTATGTAGGACTTGACACTTTTTGTATCATTACTGTTATGTACAAGAGCTGTTCTGAGCAACAGTGATGTAGAGTTACACTTCATGGAAGAGTCATAGAAAAGCTCATAACCAACAGGTAACTGGTTGGGTGTCTGGCCTGGCACAATGATCTACGTAAAAGGTATAGGACAATTAAGCAGCCAGATGACACTGGACTGTTTTCCATGACAGCATGGGGCATGACTGTGCTAACTATATAGATCTTAGGAGGGAACATTTCAAGGCAATGTCTGCACTGCCTTCAGAAAACGGCTATAAGTCTGTTCACTGGGACACCTTTAGGCACATGGTCCTCCACTCACCCCATCCTGCACAGCCCTGCTTCTTCAGGCATCTTTGGCAATGATGGAGTTAAAATTACAGCTCATGACAGCATCAAGATTGAAGCTTCTACCTCACAGTCTCCTAATACCCTGAGGCTGTAAAATACCTAGTTGGAAATATACTTCATTTGCTTTGAGAAATATTGGGGTGTTGAAAAACAACGGTGTGATTTTGAAAGAAATTTTGTAGTAGAATGAGAGCTGAAGATAGACTAGGACCAGAGAAGAGGATGGGGGTCTTCTGTAGGTTGGGATTTGACAGGGAATAGAGTCAATAAAGGCGGCTGCTTGGCAGAGAAAACTAGAGTGTTTGCGTATACTCATGAATGAGACAGGATGCAGGAAAACACGGCTGTGAAGATCCAACCCTATTTATTTTCCAAGACTGTGAGCACAGGAGGCCTGTTGAAAAGCTGTAATTTGTGTGAGTGTAAAGAAACATTAAGAAGGATCCTATCCAAATAGCATGGCAGAATTGGAAGCCTGGGGAAGCTCATTTGGATCTGTGCATTTAAAGAAAGCTGAGGGATACAGGGAACATGGACAGGTGCTGATCTGAGCAGTTATGTTGCCGTCTGAACATGTCGACCGTGGCTGTGACCAACATGACTGCCGAGGTCAAGGTAACATTGAAAATGTGCTACCTGGACCAGTAAGATGGCTCATGGGTACATGAAGGTGGAAAAATGAAGTGACTAGACAAAGCTGTCTCATGCCCACACACAAACAGTAAACAGTTCTCTCTCTCTCCCTCCCTCTCTCCTTCAATCCCTTCCCTGTTTCACACACGCACACATACACACACACATACACACACACTCATACACATACACACACAAAATAACATGATAATGATAATAATAATAGAAACAATATTTTAATTTTAAATAAAATGCATTATTTGTCTAGAACAGGGACTATGTATTGGGATGAAGGAAAGAGTATGAAGTACAACATGGGATAATAGGGAGTTGAATATGATCCAAGAACACACACACACACATATATATGTATATGTATATATATGGTACATATATATGGTACACACACATATATGTGTATATATGGTACATATATATGAAAACATTATGTTGATATAAATTAAAAGGTGTTAAAAATAACAAAGTGACTTATTTGTCAAGCCCCATATTTGAGATTGGTAAAAATTCAAAACATATTATAATGATGACCTTGGAATTAGTTCTTGAATTCTATGTACCCAAGATCTCTAAGTGAGAAAAGATGACAAATAGAAAGATATGATATTAATTTCTATTCTTTCTATGATACCTACTTAATAATATGAACTCTTATTCCCCCAAATAAATCCTGAATTTAGGGGTGATAATTAACCAAGATGAAAAATTTCTTAATAAAAAATATGAATAATATATTGAAGGGTAGTAAAAACAATTGTTAGTATTTTATTTACAAAGACTGGGGGTATAGCTCAATGAGTAGAGTCTTTACCTAACACACACAGAGATCTGGGTTCCATTCTCATTACCACAGAAACTGGGCATGGTGGCACATGGCTGCAATCCCAGTACTCAGAAGGTGGATGCAAAGGGTTCCAACTTCCAAGATCAGCTAGACAGCAAATTCAAGGCCAGCTTGAGCTACATGCTACCATGCCTCAAAAACTATGAGAAAAATTGAGTAAGAAAATCAGTGAGGGAAGAAATTTATGTGGGTAACCTATAACGCTGACAACCACTCATTCTGTAAGTAACCTAGAACACTATTATCATTCACTCTGTGAGTAACCTAGAATGTTCATGACTATTCATTTTATGGGTAACCTAGAACACTTACTACAGTTCACTCTGTGAGTAACCTAGAATGCTCATGACTATTCATTTTATGGGTAACCTAGAACACTCACTACCATTCACTCTGTGAGTAACCTAGAATGTTCATGACTACTCATTCTGTGGGTAACCTCGAACACTCACTACCATTCATTCTGTGAGTAACCTAGAATGTTCATGACTATTCACTTTATGAGTAACCTAGAACACTCACTATCATTAATTCTATGAGTAACCTAGAATGCTCATGACTATCCATTTTATGGGTAACCTAGAATACGCACTACCCTTCACTCTGTGAGTAACCTAGAATGTTCATGACTACTCATTCTGTGGGTAACCTCGAACACTCACTACCGTTCGTTCTGTGGGTAGCCTAGAATGCTCATGATCTCTCATCTCAGTTGGTTTCCTGAATCTCAAACAATAAGAAAACATAGACTGGAACACACCAGCTTTATAAACTGGAATTACTTGTTCCTAGCTTAACTATTGAGATTGGAAGTATGAGCTGACAACAAAGAAGTAATTCTGGGTACCAGCATTAGAAGATACGGTAGTGTCTTGGGTGTGTATTGTACAGGGGACGATTTTCACATCCCTCCTAGTATGAATAACAGTACTCCAATCTGGCTGTGACCTGTGAGGGTTGGGAATCAAGCATCATGATTGTACCCCCATCTCACAGAATATTTTTATATTCTATAGAGATATACATTACCACAAAGCCACTGACTCTGGGATAATGGAATTTCTTATACCATCTCCACCTTCACCCTATACTACTCATTGCAGGAGCCTCTGCATTTTCTAGCCACTTCCTTTGACAGAGAAGTACCAATTTGCCTCCAGAAGGCAAAAGTTGGTGCTAAATTCCTAGTTGGTGCTAAGAATGGACATTCAGAAAAAAAGAGAGATACCATTGAGTGCATCATAGTCCTGATATCATTAACAGCATAGTCAAAGACAACATACTTATCCTTGGGGAAAACCCATGTTAAATCCATCTCACTACACTAAGTTACCTTGGAACCTACATCCACTCAGGTTTGAGCTATCAGTTCATATCCTGTCAAGACCTGAAATGAACAGCACAATCAAAGATGCTCTGAAAGAGGAAGTTCCTGTTGCTCCCCTGTTCACTCGGCACAGAGACTGGGTGTAGAGTAAGACAGCAGGGGCCAGCTGCAGTGTCTCAGCTTCCTGAACTTCCCATCAGGTACTGTTCATGTGGCTATGAACTATTTGGTTAACTGAGGATTTGAAAGGATTGGGGGCAGATCTATAACCACCATTAGAAGGCTTAACACTGGCAAATGTAGAATGTCTACAGCAGCTACTGTTAGTTGGGAAAATAGACAGCAAAAAGACTTCAATGTTGACTCAGAAAACTATCTCTAATAAGGGAAAATAGACTGTAATAATCTACATAGTCAGCAACCAAGCTCGTTTTAGGGTGGGTAATAATATATATCTTTACCCCACAAAAGAAGAAATAGACAATTCCCCTCAGTATAAGTAAGTTCAAACTCAGTATTCTGGATTCAGCCTTTCTGGTATTGGCTCCTTCCAAAATTCAACAAGGTAAATAAGTAACTTTTGTTTAGTTTCTAATAGAGAAAGCTCTCTCGTGAATGAAGACAGAGAATTTTCAAAGTATGTGATTTCTTCAATAGCTCAGCCAAAATTCTCGGGTCTAACACTGTCAAACACTCCTCTTCCACTTTATCTGGGGGTTGTAGAAGTCTGAAAGGAAGAAGGCAAAACACCAAGGGAGAAAAAAAGCCAACTGAATGACTAAAGAAACCATAGGAAGGAGCAGAATGGAAAATTTATCTTCTATTCACAACAGATTAAGACCTTTGGAAGAGGCTAAATGAAATGGAGCATGTGTTCTGTCTTCTCATGTCCTAGGAAGTAGAAGGCTACTGAGTGTGTGTGTGTGTGTGTGTGTGTGTGTGTGTGTGTGTGTGTGAGAGAGAGAGAGAGAGAGAGAGAGAGAGAGAGAGAGAGAGAGAGAATGACAGACACAGAGAGACAGAGATAGAGAGGCAGAGAGAGATCAACTGTGAACTAGTCTAATGTCCTACCAACCATGGTGGCCTAAAACCCCCCATAGCTTTTCCAAACCTTGAACAACCACAAGGGAGATAAGGTGGAAGCCACTTCTCCCCTCTTGGGGGAAAAAACAGATCATC